GTGGCTTTAGACATTGTATGTACTAGCGCTATCTATAATTCCATCAATCTTTGTAAAATCTCTTGTATGTATGTACCTTACCTAAATAAACATTTATTTATATTTATTTATTTATTTATCTTGATGCTTTTATATTGGGACGGAGTCTTGAAGTGGGTAGAATATAGTTGTGCATTAATTGTCTGTTGATTGCTGGTGTTGACTTTTTGATGTGTAGTGCCTCACAGATGTCAAGCCGCCTGCTATCGTTGTATCTATCGATGATTTCTGTGTTGTTTGTTAAGACTTCTCTGGTGATGGTCTGGTTGTGGGAAGAGATTATATGTTCCTTAATTGAGCCCTTTTGCTTATGCATTGTTAATCGCCTGGAAAGAGATGTTGTTGTCTTGCCTATATACTGAGTTCTTTGGGGCTTACAGTCCCCAAGTGGACATTTGAAGGCATAGACGATGTTGGTCTCTTTTAAGGCATTCTGCTCTGTGTTTGGAGAGTTTTTCATGAGTAGGTTGGCCGTTTTTTTGGTTTTATAGTAAATGGTCAATTGTATCTTCTGATTTTTGTCTGTAGGGATAAAGTTCCTATTAACAATATCTATTGTTACTGCAGCATAAATAGAAAGATATATATATATATATATATATATATATATATATATATATATATATATATATATATATATATATATATATATATATATATATATATATATATATGCGAACAAGCCTGAATGGTCCCCAGGACAATATGCAACTGAAAACTCACACCCCAGAAGTGACTCGCACCCATACTCCCAGGAGCAACGCAACTGGTATGTACAAGACGCCTTAATCCACTTGACCATCACGACCGGACATAATGAGGTGATAGCCGAGGCTATTTGAACCACCCCACCGCCGGCACTCGGATAGTAATCTTGGGCATAGCATTTTACCAAATAACCTCATTCTTTGGGGCACACGTGAGGAACACAAATGCGAACAAGCCTGAATGGTCCCCAGGACAATATGCAACCACCAAAACCTTCTTAAATTACATCATTATGGAGTCAGAGGTCACTCCCTGCAATACCTCAAATCTTACCTTACTGACAGGCTATATATATATAAAAAAATATAAATATATTTATATTTATAATATATATATATATATATATATATATATATATATATATATATATATATATATATATATATATATATATATATATATATATATATATATATTTTTATTTTTTTTTTCAACGAATTTTACACATTTTCAAATTTGAATAAAAAACACACCTTTCAGATATAATCATTCAATGACACTTTTCTAACACATTAGCATATAATAAAGGTTCGTAACTTATGGAGTTTCCAAAACATCTTTGTTTTTCCTAATACAAATATTCAAAGTTCCCACCCCCCCAAAAAAAAAATTATGCAAATATGTCATGTTTATTGCTATTATAAAATCAATAAATGAACTTAGGAAAAAACGAGAAGTTGCGAGTTTAGAAACATACACTTTATATATAAGGTGTAAGTTTCATGTAAATTGAATAAAAAATGAAAGAGTTATTCAAACGTTCATGTTAGTTGAAAACATTGAAAATAAATACGAAAATAATAAAGTCTAAGGTGCTACCATCTGTGGCTGAGGTTGACATCAACCAGTTTTCTCCAAAATTGGCACCCTTACAGATAGGCTTATGTGCAGTCAGGTGTATAAGTTTCATGCAAATTGTCCGATAAAAAAAAAAATAATCATTTTTTTAACTTATTATTTTCTAATAAAGCTAATTAAAATATTTGTTTTAATATATGCTATTGTGATAGCTGAGAGTCATAAATATGAGTTCAGTTGACACTTGTGTTTGATAATCGTTTTTGACCATCTTGGAAAAATTTTGACACCTACTTCAATATTTTTTTCTCCCTTCCTATTTATGCTACGATGCTGAGACTTGGGCCAGATGAAACTCTTTTCATGTACAACTTGTCAAAAAAGTTTAATTGAAATCGAACCAGTTTTCATTTATTGCATATTTTGGGCCAATTTGGAAGTAATGCCCCCTTTAGCCTCGGTTAACCCAGAGAACGAGAGAGAGAGAGAGAGGGAGAGAGAAAGAGAGAGAGAGAGAGACAGAGAGTAAATCTTTACCATTCAGCTAAACTGTAATGCCAATCCTGACCTCAGAAGCTTCATTGAAGATTGTAACAGAACCCATGAGCACCACACCAGAAATAAATACAGTTTTGATATTCCAAGAGTACGACTTAATCAAACTAGAAATGCTCTACAAATCAAGGGACCCAGAATGTGGAATGACCTTCCCAACCATGTTAATGACTGTACCTCTCTCAACCAGTTTGAGATAAAAGCGAAGCACTACCTAATAAATTCCCTGTAACCTACCTTACCCTCTATTGTCAACCCATGTTTTTTTTTTTTAAACAACGCTGTTTGTCGACCTAATTGTATTGTGCTACTTTTCAGCCATGTTCCCCCTTTTTTATCTCTATTTTTATTTGTTCTTAACACATTTTATTCTTTATACTCAATTAGTATTAAGATTTAGTCATTATTGTTTTTCATGCCCGAAACGCTTTGCGTAATAGTGGCTTTAGACATTGTATGTACTAGCGCTATCTATAATTCCATCAATCTTTGTAAAATCTCTTGTATGTATGTACCTTACCTAAATAAACATTTATTTATATTTATTTATTTATTTATCTTGATGCTTTTATATTGGGACGGAGTCTTGAAGTGGGTAGAATATAGTTGTGCATTAATTGTCTGTTGATTGCTGGTGTTGACTTTTTGATGTGTAGTGCCTCACAGATGTCAAGCCGCCTGCTATCGTTGTATCTATCGATGATTTCTGTGTTGTTTGTTAAGACTTCTCTGGTGATGGTCTGGTTGTGGGAAGAGATTATATGTTCCTTAATTGAGCCCTTTTGCTTATGCATTGTTAATCGCCTGGAAAGAGATGTTGTTGTCTTGCCTATATACTGAGTTCTTTGGGGCTTACAGTCCCCAAGTGGACATTTGAAGGCATAGACGATGTTGGTCTCTTTTAAGGCATTCTGCTCTGTGTTTGGAGAGTTTTTCATGAGTAGGTTGGCCGTTTTTTTTTGGTTTTATAGTAAATGGTCAATTGTATCTTCTGATTTTTGTCTGTAGGGATAAAGTTCCTATTAACAATATCTATTGTTACTGCAGCATAAATAGAAAGATATATATATATATATATATATATATATATATAATATATATATATATATATATATATATATATATATATATATATATATATATATATATATATATGCGAACAAGCCTGAATGGTCCCCAGGACAATATGCAACTGAAAACTCACACCCCAGAAGTGACTCGCACCCATACTCCCAGGAGCAACGCAACTGGTATGTACAAGACGCCTTAATCCACTTGACCATCACGACCGGACATAATGAGGTGATAGCCGAGGCTATTTGAACCACCCCACCGCCGGCACTCGGATAGTAATCTTGGGCATAGCATTTTACCAAATAACCTCATTCTTTGGGGCACACGTGAGGAACACAAATGCGAACAAGCCTGAATGGTCCCCAGGACAATATGCAACCACCAAAACCTTCTTAAATTACATCATTATGGAGTCAGAGGTCACTCCCTGCAATACCTCAAATCTTACCTTACTGACAGGCTATATATATATAAAAAATATAAATATATTTATATTTATAATATATATATATATATATATATATATATATATATATATATATATATATATATATATATATATATATATATATATATATATATATATATATATTTTTATTTTTTTTTTCAACGAATTTTACACATTTTCAAATTTGAATAAAAAACACACCTTTCAGATATAATCATTCAATGACACTTTTCTAACACATTAGCATATAATAAAGGTTCGTAACTTATGGAGTTTCCAAAACATCTTTGTTTTTCCTAATACAAATATTCAAAGTTCCCACCCCCCCAAAAAAAAAAATTATGCAAATATGTCATGTTTATTGCTATTATAAAATCAATAAATGAACTTAGGAAAAAACGAGAAGTTGCGAGTTTAGAAACATACACTTTATATATAAGGTGTAAGTTTCATGTAAATTGAATAAAAAATGAAAGAGTTATTCAAACGTTCATGTTAGTTGAAAACATTGAAAATAAATACGAAAATAATAAAGTCTAAGGTGCTACCATCTGTGGCTGAGGTTGACATCAACCAGTTTTCTCCAAAATTGGCACCCTTACAGATAGGCTTATGTGCAGTCAGGTGTATAAGTTTCATGCAAATTGTCCGATAAAAAAAAAAATAATCATTTTTTTAACTTATTATTTTCTAATAAAGCTAATTAAAATATTTGTTTTAATATATGCTATTGTGATAGCTGAGAGTCATAAATATGAGTTCAGTTGACACTTGTGTTTGATAATCGTTTTTGACCATCTTGGAAAAATTTTGACACCTACTTCAATATTTTTTTCTCCCTTCCTATTTATGCTACGATGCTGAGACTTGGGCCAGATGAAACTCTTTTCATGTACAACTTGTCAAAAAAGTTTAATTGAAATCGAACCAGTTTTCATTTATTGCATATTTTGGGCCAATTTGGAAGTAATGCCCCCTTTAGCCTCGGTTAACCCAGAGAACGAGAGAGAGAGAGAGAGGGAGAGAGAAAGAGAGAGAGAGAGAGACAGAGAGTAAATCTTTACCATTCAGGATTATGATCTGTTACTCATCCAATGTGATCACTACTGACTGTTACTCATCCAGTGTTAGCACTATTGACTTTTACTCCTCCTATGTTAACACTATTTTTTTTTTTTTGCAGAGATATTCCTGCGCGGGCCCTAAGCCTCTGGCTGGCCCACTAAGTGTTGCTTATTTCTGTTTTACTTGGGCGGAGTATGAGTATGTATGACTCGTATGGTCGCTTCAGTAAGATTTTGCCATATGTGCTTAACAACTTCTTCTGCTCTGTTGAATCTAAGTTGAAATCTTAATGGGTTTGTAACTGTGCTCTGTGTTAATGTTCCAGTGGTCTGTCAGTCATTTCACCACAGTGTTGACATTTCATCTCATCTTCCGGAACATGTAAGCCTATTAACACTACTGATTCATACTCATTCATGTTATCACCACTGACTTAGTCATTTAATGTTATCACCTCTGACTTAGTCATTCAATATTATCACTGCTAATCATGCTATGTTATTACTACTAACTGTTACCGATCCTTGGTTATTGCTGTACTCATCATGTGTTATCAGAGTACTGACTGTTACTTATCCTATGTTATCATCACTGACTGTTACTTATCCTATGTTATCACCACTGACTGTTACTTATCCTATGTTATCACCTCTGACTTACTCATCCTGTGTTATCACTGCTGACTGTTACTCCTCCTATGTCATCAACCTGCACATGCATCAACCATGATTTACCTGTTACAGTCATCACTGCAGCACCCTTACTCACATAGTTATACTCACGTGTGTATACTCACTACATTGTAAATTAAAGTTAATACTCTAGATACTTTGCCTAAAATATGCAAACTAGGACCTAAGCCAACACATACCAGGAAAGAAATTGAATAATAAAAATATACGATAAATTGTAAAAAAATAGTTAAAAGTTCACACTAATGCAGACATGAAGTCATAAGGACGTGGTTGAAAATTAGACACCCAAGCCAAACATCTGAATATAGTGTAAGTGACGACTCAGGACGTCCCTTCCTTGAAGGGTTTAGGATGGACCTAAGCGTCGTTACTTCCTCTGTTTTCAGAGGGGTAGGTTGGGAGTCTTCACATGTATCATTCTCATTTTTGCCGTGACGTGTAGAATGGTTATGGAAATATAGTGAAGCCATATAATGGGATCGAACCTGCGTCGCTGAACTTCTCAGGGATGCATTTTCGGTCCCATCATATGGCTATAATTTGTTTTTAATATAGATATACCACATTTTTATTTAGTTGAGTAATAGAATACATTCTTGAGGGAACTACTATCAACCTATTTCAGCAAAAATACATGATCTAGAGAGAGGATCAAAGCTCCTCATCGCTCGGTCATGGTAAAGGTCTGTGGCTTGTCGGGCTTGTAGAGCACCCTGAACACTGGGTCCCACACATCGTACTTGTACTCCAAGTTATACTTCGAGAACATCTGAAAAGAATGTTTATTAAGGAATATATAGAGTATATGATTCTTTTCATTGTTCTTGACTGTTTGTTATATATATTTGTTTAAATGGAATGGATCACATCAATTATCTTACATGGAAAATATTGGAACTGGTGCTTTACTGCTGGTTCTAATCGCCTCTAAAGTTATAATTATCAGCCAAGATGTGATAAACATAACATTTTAGAAGACAGTTTAACGTAGAAATATACTTATATCATGTTTTATTAATATATATAAATAGCTTATTAAGACCACAATGACTAATAGTCTAGCTGCACTAAATGTCATAAAAACTTTCCTTAAGACATTAGTGAACAAGGTAGTGTAGGACACAATAACTAGGTGGCCCTGACCGATACAGATCTTGGTTCACCTCCCTGGTACTAACCCTGGCGAGTAGCACGTAGATCTCCTGTTCGGCCAGCCTCCGGCCCACACACATGCGGGTGCCCACGGAGAAGGGGATGGAGGCGAAATGGTTAGTGGGACGGTCCGGATTGTCTCTCAGCCAGCGCTCTGGTATGAACTCTGTCGCCCGAGGGAAGTAGTCCTCCCTCATGCTGGACTCTTCAATGCTGACGTATATGTGAGTCTGCCAAAGAGGAGGATTGTTGAAGCACAATGACGTATTCGTGCACGATTTGATAAGAATAAAAATGGTGCTTATGTTACCGTTAGTATGTCCCAAGGATTATTGTGATTGTTCAGATCAAGGTACAACTGGCTGAGGAGAAGCAAGAAGAATATCTGAAGCACAATTTTAACTTGGCTGTTGACCGCCAAGTCCAACTTCGTTTCACATGGAGTAAAGTAAGAGTTGAGAGGATGGTGGAGAGGAGACATTCATAACAGTCAAATCTCTCTACTTTGTCCAGAAGATGTGAATGGTGTTGCCTTCGCCAACATGTACGTGGTGATACTTTAGCTTCAGGGAAGCCCAGTTCTTCTTTGTTATGTGTTGTTCAATATCAATGAGACTTTTTTTTGTCAAAATAGAATTAATAAGGTGTTCTACTGGTAGAAGTTTCAGGTTTGTAAAAAGTGGGTGAGGTGATGGCAGCCATCTCATACTCGACGGACTGCACTGCAATTTGTATCAGATTATAATGTAACGACAAGGAAGGCAAGAGATAAGCTCCTAATACTTGAATATTTTAATCTTAGGAAAATAAATTTGGCAACAAAGGACCTGTATACAAAAATTTATCGAGTAATGGAATTACTTAACAGACAAGAGAAAGAGGAGAGGATACGCGGTCATCGGCAATGCAAGCATCACCAATGCACGCTATATTCTTACCCTAAAATGAGGTGGATGTTGATAAAAAGGAACACGAGTTGCTAATTCTAAGCAGACCAAAGAATGGGTATAAAAGTATTGGAATGGAAAACTCTTACTGTAGAAGATAAAATGTGTGACAAAAACAAAAAAAATCTTCAGTGTTTAATTTAACAAATCACTAGATTGGAGAGCACAATAAATCAGGAAAACAGAAAATAGTAGTCCCTAAAGTCAAGAAATTGGACTGAAATAATCACAAAAAGCTGACTGATGTCAGAAACATAAGATGCCTCCTCTCTTTCTGTATTATGATTCATAGGCTGTCTTCCAACTTTCTGGTAGTACACATGTGTGTGTGTATTAGGTGGGTGGGTGCGAAAAGAGGGCATGGGGTGGAGGAAGGGAAGGGGTGCCACAGAAGGTGAAGTAAGTAAGTAATTATCAAAAGAAGGCCCCAAACTGGGAAGGCTATGAAGCACCATCAAATGTGCGGAATAATCAGAGGGCGTTAAATATCACCAAGGATGCCAATATGAGAACAGAAACGCATAAGGCGAACGATATCAAAAGTATCCGATTCACCAAGAATTCTATCGATGGACAAGCGACCGCGAGGGACGGTCGGAAAACAAGAAACACGCTCGTCCCGGAAGCCAGGACATTCAACAAGGATATGCACGACCGTAAGACACAGAAGATGAAATAAATGACAATACTCACCCCAGCATTAACTCTATAGCCCTGAAGTGTTACGGGTTTGTCGATCTGACGGGACACAATTGGCGTTATTGGCCGCAGCCTGAAGCAATAAAAAATGGTTAAAATTGTCAACTCTTTGATATAAATTTGTTTAAGGTTCATCATCCTCTTTTTACTTTTATATTTCTTTCATGTTCTAATGTCTTATGCTTATATGAAATATTTACAATTAATAATTACTTTTGCTTTAATTAAAATTTTTGTTTACCGAGTCGTAAAGTTTTCACAGATTATCTAAATATTTATATCTTATCTGACGCTGATATCTATCAACCACTTCAAGGTGCAGTCTTCAAATTTTTATGTTAGATATCGTAATGTTTACCTTAAATATAGACTTGTCCAATTTGAAATTCAAATTCAGGATGAAAATATGTAGATAATTAACTTTGCTTCAAAAGGTTCCCTTTATTCCAATCACTCCTAATTAAATAATATGTTTCTTCTCTTAACTCTGCTAAAACTCTCTCACTGTAATGTCTCTCTCATCTGACATCTTCCTCTCACATCTTCCTCACCTTAGTGCCTCCCTCACACAGGCTTTGGTGTAAGTGAGTTTGGCGATATGATGGGTGGTGAGAGTCTGGCTCCCGTCTCCCAGTACCTGGTCCAGCTCCTGCTGTAGTCTGGCCTGCTTGTCTGGGTGTCGGGCCAGGTTGTACAAGGTAAACACCGACGTCATCGATGTCTATGGAAAGACTTACATAAGTGGTCTTGACTGCCATATAACTTGGCAATGACGAGAGAATAAGATCTTTATTCGAAAGATAGTTGAATACGAAAATAACATGTGTCTCACTCCAGCTTTAAAGGTAAATAAAATTTTGTTCAAACAGTGTAAGTGGTGCAATTAGTTAAAGAATACCAGGGAAAATTAAATATTTGAAAAGCAAACGTCACAAATCAAGAATGAGCAATCCGTTTTCAAAACAGAAAATCATCTGCAGATCAACTAAGATAAGATTTAGTACATCTATATATATAATGCTTAAAAGCATTATATATATAAGGAATTTCTATGCATGTCTTTCTCTGTAAGTATATAGATAATTTATTCATCGACTGATCATCTATGGCAATGGAATATTAGGCATATATTATGTTTAAAGTAACTTTTTAAGAAGTCATTGATTTCAAAGTTTTTAAAATTTATTTCACATAATTTATAATTACATCAATTGCCTAAGTAATACTGATGTAAGTAAGATGGTAGCCAGCCAGAGTGTTATGACCCCAATAACATGCAAAGAAGAGAGAGAGAGAGAGAGAGAGAGAGAGAGAGAGAGAGAGAGAGAGAGAGAGAGAGAGAGAGAGAGAGAGAGAGAGAGAGAGAGAGAGAGAGAGAGAGAGAGAGAGAGAGAGAGAGAGAGAGAGAGAGAGAGAGAGAGAGAGAGAGAGAGAGAGAGAGAGAGAGAGAGAGAGAGAGAGATTTTTACCGAGTCAATCCCAGCGAAGAAGAGGTCGACCATGAAGGTGATAACGTCCTCGAGCGAGAGACCCGGAGTGGTGAGGAGAGACTCCAAGATGTTCAGCTCGCCCGAGTCCTCGGGGTCACGGGCTTCCAGGTCCTGTTTAGCCTGGCCAACCTTCTCCAAGATCACACTGGCGATGGAGAACATAGCGTTATACGACGTTAATGTTCACATGGACGGTAGGCGAAAGTTTCCAACACATAAAAGACAAGGGAGAATTAACGTACTCGAGGAGATTGTCGTGGGCTTTCCACATGCGTCTTAGCGGCGCTGTGGGGAAGTACTTCCACAGGTGGACGCCGAACTCACAGTCCCCTGTGGCTTCCATCATGCTGATGGATGACTGGATTATCTTCTGTCCCTCCTCACTGTCCTCTAAGCACCCTATCCGCTTGTTGAGGGCCACGAGGCCCAAGGCTGATGTGCCATGTTAAAAAGATTCTGCAATTAGTAAACTGTAATATGTGATCTCTCTCTCTCTCTCTCTCTCTCTCTCTCGTTAAAATTGCACAATGCATTGTGTGGAGGCAATTTTTCAACTTCCTTCCCAGTTGAAGAAGAATATAAGAAATAATAATTTATATCCTTTCCGTCATATACAGTAATACACACACACACACACATACCATTAGGGAGATGTTGTCTTGCCTATACATTGAGAGCACTTTGGCTGACAGTTTCCGAGTTACCATGTAAAAGTAAAATCTTGCTTCATCTCTTTCAAGACTCTGCCATTTGTGTCGATAAAGTTCTTCATGAATAAGTGTCCGGTTTTCTGAATTTTGCTGTAAATTATCAGCTATATCTTATCCTAAGTGTGAGTAGGGATTACGTTTCAGTCAATATATCATTCAAGATACTCTCGTCCTTCTTGTGACAGAGTTTTATAAATGGAAAGATTCTCTAATGTTGACTATTTCATCGGCGATGACTTGATAAGCTCTTCATTACATACTTTAGTGCATTTGTTGTTGACAAGGACCTAGCCCCTGTCTTTATTGGCTTAATCGTCAACTTGGTTCCAAGTGGAGCTGAAAGAGAATAGTGTATGTAGATTCCGGAGACTTTGCTCTCATTGGTCAAGCCATTCACTGCTAGTATTACGGCGCATCCCTATGGTAGCTCATCAGGCGTAGAAACAAGTTTGGATGTTGTCGTCAAATGTATATTCATTCACTGATATATTCCTTCATTGATGAAGCACGGTTTTGTATAAATTGATCTGAAATGGTCTGAGTAATTGGGCATCATTCTGTCATATCACAGCTCTTTGTCTTAAGTTCCCTGCTTTTAGTCCTCATATCCCAGCTTTTAGTCCTCATATGCCAGCTTTTAGTCCTCATATGCCAGCTTTTAGTCCTCATATGCCAGCTTTTAGTCCTCATATGCCAGCTTTTAGTCCTCATATGCCAGCTTTTAGTCCTCATATGCCAGCTTTTAGTCCTCATATGCCAGCTTTTAGTCCTCATATGCCAGCTTTTAGTCCTCATATGCCAGCTTTTAGTCCTCATATGCCAGCCTTTAGTCCTCATATGCCAGCTTTTAGTCCTCATATGCCAGCTTTTAGTCCTCATATGCCAGCTTTTAGTCCTCATATGCCAGCTTTTAGTCCTCATATCTCAGCTTTTAGTCCTCATATGCCAGCTTTTAGTCCTCATATGCCAGCTTTTAGTCCTCATATGCCAGCTTTTAGTCCTCATATGCCAGCTTTTAGTCCTCATATTCCAGCTTTTAATCCTTATAGTTCAGTTCTCTATCTACATATCCAAGATTGTTTATTATTATTATTATTATTATTATTGCTCCTGTTGTTCTTTTAATTGTTATTTGGGACTATTATATTTTATTGTTATTGTTTATTATTTATTATTATTATTTTATTTATTATTATTATTTTATTTATTATTATTATTATTTTAATGTTTATTATTATTTTATTTATTATTATTATTTTGATTATTTACATAATAATGTTTACAAGACATTTAAGATACTCACATTCCAAAGCCCATTTTAACAACTCTTCAACATAATCACCAGGAAGCTCATTCTTGTGGTCCCGTTGACCGGCTGACCTGTTGAGAAAGGCCGGGATATTAACCCTTAGGCTGCTTATCACGCTTCGGTAAGTAAACAAAGTGGTAGAAAAGCTTAGAAAGCTTACTAAACTTTCACGAAGGACCTACCTGCGAGACCTCCATAAAATCCATATGCAACACAACAATGTGGCACTCACTTGAAAAATGCTCGAGGCTCAAACATAAATACTTGATTCTGCAACTTTAATTAAAAGATGCAGAAGATTCTGTGGTGAAGATTCTCCGTAGAAGAATCAAGGTGAAAACGACTCACCTTGATTCTGCAGGAGATTATAAATTCTAGAAACTATCCTCTCAACGGGGAAAAATACATGATATACACATACAAAACGACAACATTGCCCCACTACCAACTCTGAGGCCTTGACTCCCTAACCAGTGGAATATGCTGTCACAGCAGAGGAAATCTCGCACGTTCGCAGGCAACTGACCGGCCATACTGACATAACCTCTACCTGACCTCTACTTGAGTATACTCTATATTATATTCCCCGTAATATACATGCAACACACTATATCTCACTTGAGGATGTTCTACGCAAGAACGATCGAAGAGTGCACGTGGTTCCTCACCCGCCACCAGGGGGTAGACTATCTACGTCATCACGTACCTGGCTCCTCACCCGCCACCATGAGGTAGACTATCTACGTCATCACGTACCTGGCTCCTCTCCCGCCACCATGAGGTAGACTATCTACGTCATCACGTACCTGGCGACGAACTCCTGGGCCACGTGGTCGACCTGTGGCAGGTAGTAAGCCACGTTCTTGGGCCTCATGGAGTGCACCTGCACTAGCCTCCTCACCCGCCACCAGTCCTCACCCTGCCTGGCGATCATGGTTGTCATTAACTTATATATACATATGTTAATAATTCACATTACCCAATTCTATAACAATGGACAAATAGGAGGGATAATATATTTTTAAAGAGAAGGCATATGCCAATTTAAATCTAAAAATTAAAGAGGGAGACAGTTCAAAAACATATATCAATACATACTGATACTAAAAACATGTTAATTCACAGGGGGTGCGGAATTTAGAGATAACACCATCAATAGTGTCCAAGAAATGTGTAAGTACTTCATTCATAATGATGTGCTGCTCAAAATCTTAGCGAAGTATCCAAAATTTGCTTACTGTAGGTAATGCATGCACATGACTGTAAAGCTGCCGCCCAGTTGGGTGGGTGTGCAGCAAAACTGTGTGACTCACCATAGATGTATAGTGAATGTTGTGAGCCACTTGCTGAATCACTTGTGATACAAAAGATTATTTATGTGTGTATTTGTGTGGGTGATTAAATATGTATGTGTATGTATATACGTATATGTATGTATATGTACATGTATGTATGAGTATGTGTACATGTATATATAACATTAATAACTGTGTAACTAGCGTCAAAAAATCGTTATTTGCTTAGCTTAACGAACTAGAGGGTTCAGTTCCTGAACCGATTATGTGCCTCTGTAATCCTTTCCACCACCGCCCACGGGCTGGGTATGGGGTGCATAAAAAAGAAATTGAATTGGTCTCATGAGTACCAAGAGAGAGAATGTGTGTAGAAATACGTATATTGTTCTAATATTTATGTATCAAATAATTCATGCGAAAATCCACTAAGCTTTGACATATTTTCCCTCCCAGTAGTAAGACTTTTCATGTGAATTGCAGTCATTGTTGGTGTAATGCAATGACAAATAATGCTGATAACAGATTCATGAATTAGTAAACTCTGATCCAACTATCCATCACGTCTCTAGATTTTTAAGACGCATAGCTTTTTTAAGAAGCTGAAACGCGCCATCTTAAAGCGGAAATAAAAAGCTTAAAGGAAATAAATACCCATAGGTAAGCTGTCAAAATCGCTAGTGAGGGCTAAGTGTACTAATATGCCATATGATGGCGCTGTGCTCATTCGCATGACGAGTATCGATCCCCGATAAATTTCTTCTTTGAGGTAACCTAGAACAAGTAAGAAACACTTGGAAGTGATGTGAGGAGAAGGATTTCTGATAGGATAGAGGGAAGGAAGGGCGCCCAATCACTTTGACTGTCGGGGATAGAACGCTGACCTGCAAGAAACGAGGCCGTCGCTCTACCGACCAGGCCAAGTTGTTCAGTCAGTTCCCCTTCAAGGCAAAATTAAAATCAGCAAGATAGATGATGGAGAGTGTGCATGGATTGTGGTTTTGAAGCTGAGCCCTGATAATACACTCAATAAATGGCCTGCTTCCCTCAGTCTGTGTTTTCCAGAGCTAAATTTTTTATGAATCAGAATTAAGTTAAAAAATACTTACTCGGTAATGATGCCTGTTCCAGAGGTTTTAAAAAATTTAGCCTTGTTCTTAACACGAATTTTTCTAAGAGAATCTATAATTGGCCTAATAGGATTGTCAGCCATCTCTCTGTAGAGATGTTGAATGTCTGTGGGATCAGAGATGTAAACAACGTCTCCCAGCCCAAGAAAATTCAGCTTGAAAATTGGTCCGTATTTCTTGAAATAGGATCTCCAGAGACGCGGGATCCGTGAAACATCATAATCTAGTCAATAAAATTTAAAATTAATAACATACTGTACGGTATATAACTAAGTAAAAAAAATACATAGGGTTTTCATTATGGCCATTATGTGCTGTAATTATAGGTGGAAAAGTACAGTGTCACTCGAATTCTCACCTGGGTCGAAGTATGAAGCAGGTAAGGTCCCCAGCAGCGGCCATGACCTAGGGCCTGGGATCTCAGAGTGTGGTCGAGGGAGGGAGTGGGAGTCAGTCGTGGCCAGCGAGGGCGCCACTCCGGCCATGGAGGACATCCCACGAGACCTCAAGGGGCCAGAATATGCTCCAGGGAGAACAGAACGTGAGGAGAAGATGACGGAACGTGAGGAAGGAAAAACATGGGATATTCCAAGAAAGGCAGAGTTCTTCCCGAGAAGCCTCGCTCGTGGTGCGTTGGCCATCTTGTCGCCAGCCTCTGTTCTTTTCAAAAATATTCTCAGGCAGCCGTAGATTGCTTATATAATATTTGCGAGTCTTCTCTCTCTCTCTCTCTGTTAAATATTAAAGCGTTCAGTAAATAAATTGCTTTGAATAAAATTTTGTCTTCATTCGCAAATCTCAAGCAGTTTGATATATGCAATTGACCAGAAAAAGTTAACTATCACTTGTTATCAAACCAATTATTTTTGCCTTGAAAGAGACGAGTGTCGTACCTTTACGTCCCCACTTAGGGAATGTAAGCCTCAACGATGTCATTCAGAACGACAACATCTCTCTGTAGGCACCTGCCATTGCACAAACTACAATGATGACCAAACCACACATCAGAAGATAGAGAAACGACGACGTGTCGACTTGATAATGGTCCACGACGGACCGAAACGTCGTCGTTTCTCCATCTTCTGATGTGTGGTTTGGTCATCGTATCTTCAGCCACGTTATTATGACTCATCTTTCAACAAACGACAAGACTGTCACCGATAACATAATTTCTACAGTCAACCAGATCATCACCGGGGATATCCTGACCAGCATCCCTGAAATAATCGGCAAATACAACGACAACTGGAGGTAAGATATTACCAAAGCATTGCATATTACTCTCATCCACTTATGAACAGGTAGTTTATGAACATCCTTCCATCTACCGGAACAAGACAGAACTATAACAGTTTACCAGCATGTCCTCCAAACAAAGACCCAAAAGTGATTCCATGCACCCGCCAAACCTACTGCTCATGAATGAAAAACTGTTTACACACGACTCACAACTGATTTCGTTCGAACACTTCCGGAACAAGTGCTTCACTGACGAATTTTGTTCGAACCACAAGGCTGTAAATGCTTCACCCACGTACTACAAATACAAATAATCGCCAACAGAACCTAAACACCCAACCTAACCTGTCCTAACCTATCCTATGCCTATATATGCACAATATGCTAATGTATTATAATATTAATTTATATTTGAGAACATTCCCGTTTTGAACGAACAGCATGTAAAAATTTATGAATGTGTCTGTGGGGTCAACCGCTGGATGTAATGGACTTGAGTCGAGGATGGGTTGCAGCTCACACCACACCTGCTACCCCCAGCCAATAAATGACAATGGGGAGTCCACTCTGCATCACCAGCCAGGTTGGACGTTCCTGAGGTCTCTCTGCTGGTGTTTACATTGGTCACTTCTCGGTTGCTCTGGCGAGTGGTTGTTTGCCACTGCGGTGTGACTGTTCCTCAGTCTCAGTATGGTGACTTACGTGCCGCAACTGCGGAGGAAGGAGTCGGCTGGGCTGACATTTACCTGTAAGGTGGATATTGGAGTCATCAGCAACACTCTGTTTGATGTTATAAACGGGAAAGTGGAATATCTCGTTGGTATGCAGGTCATTCGCAAGGACAGGGTGGTGGTGAAGTTCGCCGAGAATGGCTTGTTCCGGCAATTTATCAACAAGTATGAGAATCGGGAGGGGCGGCTGAGCAACGGTCGAGGCTCTGTGACGGTAACGAATTTGATTGTTGAATACACTTACGTGTCTATTAAAAATGCTCCGATTGAAATGTCTTCTCCGTCGGGCTCTTGCCAGGTATGGGCGTGTCGAATTTATTCGTGAGTGTAGGCACACGTCCAGAGCCGTCAAGGGACTCATTAATGGTTACAGGATGGCTAATATGGTTCTTCGTGGAAATGTGCCTAATTCTCTATCGATTGCTGGCTATGCGGTCGGCTTCTTCTACCGGGGGCAGACTCGGACATGTTTCAAGTGTGATCATGTTGGCCATATGGCTGCTGCCATCACCACTCGGATGTGTGAACGGGTTAACCTGTTTAATGAACATGATTTTCCTCCTTTGCACGAGGAAGATGATCTCTTGGTTCTGAGCAGTGCCCCTTGTATGGGAACTGATTAAGTGGTGGTTGGCGCCGATCTGAGTTCTACGAGTGCTGCTTCATTAGTTTCTACTGGTGGAGATGACGTCCGTACTGAAGTGTCGTCTCATGGACGGTCTGGTGGGGGTGTTGATCTCCCTCCGAGCCGGTGCGTGCCCGTACAGGCCGGCTCCAAGGGCGGGTGTGCTGCGGTGACTGCCAACTCTGGTGAGGTGGTAGATGCAGTGGTGGGCATATCATCGGTGGATGTGTGCTCCAGTGCTGAGCCGATTGGTGTGCGTCGGAACCTGCAGCAAGTGATCCGTGATGGTGATGTTGCTGCTCGGACAACTGAGGTGGTGGCGGAAGTGCATATGGAGGATGTACATTCTCCTAGTCGCGGTTCTGAACGCCGTGAAGCAGATTGCATGTTGCCTGTCAGCGGTGGGCAGCATAGCCTGAAGAGACGGAAATTTGGGGGTTCTCTTCAGAATGTCCTAGATGCGAGAAGGAGGTTGGAAGTCGGCACCTCCTCCTTCCTTGACGGCTGTGCAGTGTGACCCTATGGTTCCGTCCGACTTGGATATTCCGCCCTCTGGTGGGGGCGTGTCTGTGATGGATGATGGTGTTCATAAAATTCCAGGAAGTGGTCCTCCACCTATAGGTACACAGAATATGGATTGGTGGGATATAATGAAGGTGGTCCAGGAAGAGTCGGTAGGGGGCGATTTGGTGGTAAGGCTCCAGAATAGTTCTGAGGGTACGCTTGCCGATGTGGCTCCCTCTCTGGTAGTTTTGGGGGATGGGGTTGAGGGCTATTCTGTTGGGTGCGATGCTACCCTGGGATGTAATGGTAGTGCTATGTGAGTGTGGTTCTTTCTGTTTATTTTCTCAATGGATGTGTGGGTAAATTGTGCGAAATTGAACGTTAGTGTGTGTTTTCTGGTGTGTGTGTGTGTGTGTGTGTGTGTGTGTGTGTGTGTTTTTGCCAGGTCCTGCGCGTTCCGGTATTTTTTTCATGTGTGTTTGGGGTGTGAATGACGATTGTTTCCGGTTCCTGCGTGTTCCGGTTGGGTGTTCGAATGTTTGAATTGTGTGTGTTGAGGGTTCCGTGGGTTGTGTGTGTGTGTGTGTTTAGAAATTATATTTTTCATTTTGTGCCTTTTGTTTCTGATGTTTCTTTTGCGCCCTGTGTGGTGTATTATATATTATTTGGTGCGCCCCGTCTGGGTTGTGCAGGTACTTATTGTGTGTGTGCTCATGTATTTCTCTTTGTTGTTTTAATGTTTTTCAGTTAACGTTATTTGCTATATGCCATTTGTTCTGTGTTTTTGTCGTAATGTGTTCATTGAGTTATGCATTTTGCTGTGGCTTTTGTACTTGTTTGTTGTATGTTGCATTTATGAATGTTGGTGCTTCGGTGACTTTGTATTGTATGCTTATATTGTCAAGTTTTCTTTTATAAAAAATAAAAGAACAAAAAATCAATGACAATGCAGAGCAAGACTGACAATTTCCCTTGAGACCCTCGATTAACAAGGAAAGTCCTTATAATTACACCTTTACAACTGGTTTAGTTAAATAAAAGTGAAAGAACTAAAGCCTTTTCCTATTGAAATTTTCTTCGTGGTAATTACCACATTATCTACTCGCATCACGTGTTTCTTTATCGTGATTAACGCATAAATAATTCGTAGATTTGCGTCCGTTGTGAGCGCTCTAAGACTGCTGGAATATTTTATCGACATGTTAACTGTCAAACACGTATGTTTGAGTATTTTCTTCAACCCTGTTTATCAGATACACTATCGTTCCTAAAAAAAAAAAAAGGCTAAACTAGCGTTTAAACCAATATATCATCCTCAGATGGGGGATAGAAATTGCTTTGAGTCAGGTGTACATAATCAGAGATATTCTCATGCACTCCGCACTCTCATGCGTATTTACCGAGTGGAGACCACAAGTGATTAACTGTAAATAAACCAAAGTATGGTTCAACTTTTCCTAAAGATTATATTCACTGCGCTTTATATGTTTTTTTAAATCTAACTTAAGACACTAGTGGAAGAATCAAGCAATATCCAACTAGTCTGTAAAACAAGTAGCTCGAGCTTCGGCATTGGCGCCAAGCCAAATTTCGTACCCAGGCAACTTACTGAGGAGCCTTGAAATAATAGACATTCGCCCTTCTCATGCTAACTTGCGGCATCTCTCTGAACATCTGACACCGTTACCGCCGTGCTCTCTTGCTTGCGACATATAAAATAACCTATACATTTGTCAAGATTGTGCCTGATCACTGGTTTATTTGTATATATATATATATATATATAGATATATATATATATAGATATATATATATATATATATATATATATATATATATATATATATATATATATATATATATATATATATATATATATATATATATATATATATATGTGTAACTGAAAACTCACACCCCAGAAGTGACTCGAACCCATACTGCCAGGAGCAACGCAACTGGTATGTACAGGACGCCTTAATCCGCGTACATATCAGTTGCGTTGCTCCTGGCAGTATGGGTTCGAGTCACCTCTGGGGTGTGAGTTTTCAGTTGCATATAGTCCTGGGGACCATTCAGGCTTGTTCACACACACACACACACACACACACACACATATATATATATATATATATATATATATATATATATATATATATATATATATATATATATATATATATAGTATATTTTGGTAGCAGTCTTTCCTGTAGACATATATTATTAAATATGACCGAAAAAGTAAGATTAATAATTCTAACACGAATTTTCTCAATCTTTCGTACATTACGCTTCACTGTTGGAGGTAAATAAAAAATCACTTCTCCAAAATTCATTTTTATTTCTAGTCTGACGCGACACGGGCGCGTTTCGTAAAACTTATTACATTTTCAAAGACTTCACAAATACACAACTGATTAGAACTTACATCTCTCTGATATTATATCTACATTTGAGTGAGGTGGGAAGGATGATGTGGCATTAACACAAGACAGAACAGGGGATATTAATAGGGTATTAAAAGTATCAACACAAGACAGAACAGAAAACAATGGGTATTGAATAGAAGTGTTTGTAGAAAGCCTATTGGTCCATATTTCTTGATGCTTCTATATTGGAGCGGAGTCTTGAGGTGGGTAGAATATAGTTGTGCAATAATTGGCTGTTGATTGCTGGTGTTGACTTCTTGATGTGTAGTGCCTCGCAAACGTCAAGCCGCCTGCTATCGCTGTATCTATCGATGATTTCTGTGTTGTTTACTAGGATTTCTCTGGCGATGGTTTGGTTATGGGAAGAGATTATATGTTCCTTAATGGAGCCCTGTTGCTTATGCATCGTTAAACGCCTAGAAAGAGATGTTGTTGTCTTGCCTATATACTGGGTTTTTTGGAGCTTACAGTCCCCAAGTGGGCATTTGAAGGCATAGACGACGTTAGTCTCTTTTAAAGCGTTCTGTTTTGTGTCTGGAGAGTTTCTCATGAGTAGGCTGGCCGTTTTTCTGGTTTTA